TTCATTATGCTTTAAAAGCAAGCAGCAGGGCATCGGAGAATGTGGTGTAAAATATGTATAGTCATATTGCACTTGAAGCAAATTTAGAGGTATATTTGTGATGCATGCGAGTAGCACGTTGGGAGGCCCACGTCAGCATTTCGGGCCCCTTCGGCAACGCATCATCACGTCCCTCAGATCGCCAACCCGGTGTGGGATGGCATGGACATCGGCGCTCGTTGCAGCACAGATAAAATGACAGCCTTTGCTTAATCCTCGATAATGAAACCAAAGCTGTAGCTATTTATAACTGTAACAAAACCCCGTGTAGAGTTCATGGCTTGTTGCTGCCCAGCTCTCCGATGTTTCCAGGTTGTATAGCGGCGTGTGTTGCTCGGCTTGAAGTCTGACGTTACCGTTTTACTTGCTGGGAGCTTCTTCGGTTTTTGCTCCACGTTCCGCGAACTTCTAAAGGAACTGACGCTAATGCCGAATAGCACACGGTACAACGTGAGAGCACGCGGGAGATCCATCCCGTGCTTCGTCGGAGCTTTCTTGATGTATCCATTGCTGCCCAGCGCTGACCGACAACGACCACATTTATAAAAATGCAACATTTTCCGGTGTTTTTTTTTTAAACATTCCAACTTTCTCGTGCATCTACCGCAACGGGAGCAAGCTAGGGCGCGGCGTCAGATTGTGAAGTGGGCAGTGGTAATCCGGGTACATGGGGGCTCGAGTGGGGAGAGCCATGTGCACGAGGAATAACAAGTGGGTCTCCCAGTCCTGGTTGTCCCCACGCCCTGCCCCCAGCCGTGGCGTGCCATGGGTAATGATGGGGCCCCCCTCCCGGGCCAAGGTAGGAGGCGGCGCCGTGGTCAGAGGCCCGTGCTGCGGTTTTCGTCGGACCGTTGGATGGCGGTGGTGGCGGTGGGGGTAATGGGTTAGTTGGCGGTGGTGGGAGCCCTGGTGGCTCGAGAGTGGTCGGTCTCTGGCTGTGCGTGCAGCATGCATAAATCTTGCAGGCTGGATGGACACGGGATGGGACGTGTTTATGGGCTGAGGATTAAAGGATTCTCCCCAAAGATGCTTAGATTTACTGCGAGTGTAAGCAGGATGCAGCCTCACGCTTGCAAAGCCCCGGATATGCCAAACTGCTAACGTGCTCGTTGTGTGATTATATTTTTCTTTGCATTACTTCACGGTTCACTTTGTAATGTTAATGCTGATCGTGGTGCTGAGATATTGATATTGTGTACTTAGTCATGCTGGGATATCCGGACAGGTGGCCCAGCTGTAGAGTGAGCGGCTTGCATTTGGAAGATTTGCGAGTTGAAATCCTGGTTAGAGATTGACTCAGCCCATATTCACTTTGCGATCGATAACATGATTATCACTTGGTAGGGAAGTCAACAGTGGATGCTCTATGGATAGAGTCGCCTCCACCATAGGAATGTGGAATTTCCACCACTTGTTCAGGGCTGAGATCAACACCGCCTGTCCAACCAGCAGTGTAAATGGGGACACCACAGTTAGTCGATCAGAGAGTCGCCTGTGGATACTCTCACCGCTTCCAAGACGTTTGTCCAGTGTGAAAGAGCAGACCGAATACCCTCTAGAGGGGCTCTCTAGGGCTCGCTCTAGTGGAGGCCTTTCCACCGGCAGCGGAGCGAGCAAGCAACTGGCAGCGCTGCACCTTTGCTTCATCTCTGTGAACACCACCTGGTCATCGGGCGGCTGTCAAAGACGTGCTGATGAGACTTGATTGAAGCAAACGGCTGTTTGCACCCTTGTTCACATATGCTGATTTGACTGTGTTTTTGCATATCCCGTCCACGGCATATCAGCGGCGTTAGTTACCAGCTGAATAATTTAGATAATTTCCTCAGTGGCAGCGGGCGGGTGAAGCAGTGAGGAAGGCGTCGAATGTAAACGGTGGGGGCGGGGGGAGGGGGTTAGGGGGATAGTGGGGAGGGGGATAGGGGGCGGGGGAAGGAGGGCGTTGGGGTGGCAGCTCCTGCTTCTTTGGTGTGAAAAATGCTTGCGAGCATTTTTCGCGTGTACGAAGGCAATGAAATAACACTGCTCAACAATAATTAGGCATGAGGCTGTGAATTATTTAAATAGTATCTTGCCCCTGTTTTTTTTAAATATATATCTACTGAATGCCTACGGTGCGGTAACCGCTACGTGCATTAATCCAGCTACCGTTGCAGTAAGGTTCCGTTTGACTTCAAACACCGTTGAGACTCTGTCCAGTAAATTGTCACAGGAATTACGTGAAAAGGCAAACACTGTAGGCGCCAGTTATGTGGATTAGAGGATAATGAAGAGTGGCGTTGTTCCACCGCCATACATTTTTACGCACATCAGTCACACCTGATGTGTGTGATTGAAAAAAATCAATTCTGGAAATATTTCACTGGTGCTAGATGTAGACAGGGAACTTGCCCTGAAGTAAGTTACAAAAAAGATATACAGCTCTCAAAATACACCCTTCAAATGATGTGATGTCAATTCTTTAGAGGGTTTTTTTTTACCATTCCGCTTCAGTTCAAACAACGGAGGAGCGATGGTGTAGGAGCCACGTACCTCGAAGGCTTTGGAGGGAAAAAAAGCATAGATCCATCAAATGGTGGCTCTTAAAAAAGATTTCACCAATTTTTTTTTTGACAACTACGAATTTCTGTACAGATGGTGGCAAAGCAAGTAAATGAATTACTTGAGCAGGAGGGTTGATTGCAAATGGCCATGACCATTTTTCACCGTTGACTCATTCATCATTTAGTCATTCATCAGGCCCTGCTGACTGGGTTTGGTGTGGTGCCGTAGTTGGAAGCTGCAGTGCACTTTCTCTGCCTAACCGCTAATGGATTGGTGAGCGCCTGTCTAGAAAGCCGACCGACATATGCGGCCAAAACAAACGTTGCTGCGAAGTCCATCAGTGTTAAAAAAGTGTTTTCCTAAAGGTTGTTGGTTTAGTTACAGCGGTGGTGTTGATTTTATACAGGCTCGAAGCTCCAATTGACCTTGCTTGATAATCTACAGGATGGCCCAGATGTCTTGTGACCCCCCCCCCCCCCCCACTAAATTCTCTCAAGCTTGAAATATTTTAACATTTTAAAGTATGGTTTTTAAAAAAAAAAGAATGAATATATAGAGAAAACATGTTGGGGGTCAATTAATTGGAGGTTACAAGACATATGGAACACCCTGTAGGACTAAATCTCTCCAGATACGTCTAATCTCATCAGATCTCGAAAGGTAAAACAAGGTTGAGGCTGGTAACTACAAGAATAAGATACTTCCTGGGAACAGCAGGTGATGTCGATTTGGGTTGTGAGGTGGTCAGATGGTGGCGGTAGAACGATGGATTGTTAAATCCATCATTTGCGCGAATGGTTTTCTCTCGTTGCTTCAGTTTCGTCCCGCACGAAGCCAACAGCCTAATGCATGGAATTAGTCAAACATCCAGATGCAGGACCGTCTTTGATAAAGAAAAGTATGCGTCAATAAGTCTTCCAGCACCCACTATTGACATTGCTACAATTATCACCGTCATCCCGTCACCATGCATGATAACTGCAGGTTTATGTTGCCGTTCACCCTCGCGGTGTATACATTATATTATATTTCATTGACTCGAGTGCGTGCTGACGCAAACAAATACGAAACGCCGTGTAAAACGACCAGCACACGGGCACGAGAAAATGATTTACATAACAATACGCAAAGTATATCTACAGTATCGAATGACTGCGCCAGGCCATGTCAGTAGAATCAAAGGGAACAGCCGTCGTTGCTGGGTTTAGAAAACTCAAATCCTCTCGACCCACCGCCACGCTCCATCTTTCCGCGTTTAACCAATTTTCTCCTCCATTCAAATCGACTTGTTCCACGCTGCACGCGCCCGATGATTGTTGAACGCGTCCCACGTGACGCGCTAAGCAATTAACGCCATCTGCGTCAATATGGCCGAGTCAAAATTAAGTCCTCAGTTTTAAGCTTTCGTGACTGCAAGGATTAATCTTCTTTGGTTCTTTCGGTAAAGTCACGTAGAATGAGAATAAAATAATAAATTGATAAAATAAAATAACACAATAATATTCTCACGACGTTTCGGCCACAACACAAGCGGCCTTCATCAGGTGAAGGGGACGAGACTGTCTGGAGGACAGCGCTGGAGTTAGAAAGCCACGCTGAGATCACGTCGTGATCTGTAGAAATTTGTCGTGATCTCAGCGTGGCTTTCTCACTCCAGCGCTGTCCTCCAGACAGTCTCGTCCCCTTCACCTGATGAAGGCCGCTTGTGTTGTGGCCGAAACGTCGTGAGAATATTATTGTGTTATTTTATTTTATCAATGTATTATTTTATTCTCATTCTACGTAACTTTACCGAAAGAACCAAAGAAGATAAGTCCTCAGTGTGTGCGTGTTCCACGAGACGCGGACGCCGTGAATTGTTAACGCGTCACGTGGGAACGTGTTTCAGAAGCATCGGGCGCGTGCAGCGTGAGACGAGTTCATGCGTCCGTCAATGCTGGAGGGGGGGGGAATAACATCGGTTAACGCGGGAAAGATGTAGCGATGTGGTGGGTCGCGAGAACTGGAGTTTGGCACTATATATATAAAAAACAGCCTTACGGAGTCGGTGGTGACTTATCCGCTAACTCAAACGTGTCTCTCCCCCCCCCCCCCCCCCAACGGGCTTGCTCTCAATGACAACGCGTGTGTGTGTGTGTGCTCGCGCGCAGAGAAGTCGCGCACTTATTTATATTTATCTCACGTTTCTGCGGAGATGATGATGATGATGCTCCGTCGGCCGGCGTGAGATGGTGGGTTAGTGTGTGGGTGGTAGAGTCATGGCGGGGGGGGGGGGGGGTGTCTGTAGAAATTTGATCCAGCTGCCTCTTAACGGCCGTTGAGAACAAGATGTGGATACGGTGCAATAAACACGCGCGCAGCAGCACGGTGGGAAATGAAAGGGGGGGGGGCGATGACAGCTCCCGGGGGGGGGGGGCACGCTCTTTCACAGCGAGCCCTGCCCGCCACGGAGGGCAGGGAGCGCCTTGGCATCGAAGAAAACGCAACGCAGAGAGGGCGCTTCGTGAGTCGTCCATTCGTAGAGGAGGGTCGGGTATTTTTTGTTTGTTTGTTTGCATATTGAAAACGGGGTACAAAGTGTGTGTGTGTATGTGCTGCGTTTGGTTGTATGTTCCTAAGAGCAGAAGCAGCCACGGTGGTGGAAGCATTAGCCACCAGACGAGTTACCGCCTCTCCGTTTGTGAAGGAAGAAGCAGCCTTTTTAGTTGTACGGTATAACCACCTCTCTCCCTCGGCATTCCCATCTCCGCCACCCCACAGCCTCATTCCTCCCTTTTCTCTGCCCCCCCCCCCCAAACGCCTTCCAACCCCATCACAAACCATTTCCTCCTCCTCATCTCCTCTCCTCCCACGATTCATCGCCCTGCCCTCCCCACAGCGACTCCCTTTCCCTTCCTACAACCTCTCCTTTGCCTTAAGCAAAAACCTTTCTCTCTCTCTCTCTCCCCTCCGCGTCTTGAGCCGCTCGCTGAAGGCGAACGGAATTACTCCGGCAGCTGGAGTAACGCCCTCGATTGGTTGGAGCTCTGGAAAGGCAAACGGGGGGGGGGGGGCGGACGAGGTGGTGGGGGGGGGGGGGGCCGCCGGTAGCCCTGGATTGGCCACCGCACTGCAAAGCAAATAGAGCATCGCGATCGACTCCGCGCCAGAGTGACACACAGAGAGGAAAGGCAGAGCAAGCACTTCAGTTTAGCGAGTGGGTTCGCCGGGTGCCTTCGGCGGCGTGCGTGAGTCGTAGGTACAGCGCGTTACTATTCTCATCATTATTATTGTTTTCATTTTCCATTATTTATTTTCCGCGTCCGCTAAACTCACCTTCGAGCGAAGTCGCCGTCCCATGAGGTTGCTGCTGCTGCTGCTGTGTAAACGTTGCGATGGCTGCGATTGGACCTGGGCACCCAGCCGTTGTCGTGGGACTTTAGGGCTTCAAGATTCGTGCATCGCAAAGGTAACGATGGTGGATGGGGGGTGGGGGGTTGTCTTTTGTGTTTGTCTTCGAGGTAAAGCACGGGGGGGGGCCTCGTTTAGCTAAGCTAGGCTGGAGGCGTCAAAAAGTACGACATTGTGCCCTACAGGTATTGTGAGGATGCAATAAAGATTACCGTGTTGGCAAAGTGATTATGCGACGACATGTTTGTGAGTATATTATAAATAAAAGGCAAAAATAATATCGAAGCTAAGTCGCTGATGGGTAAATGAAATTTGAGATATTTTCAGTAGAATTCACGTTTTGTTTACATGAAGTATCAAGTGGTAATTCTAAGGGTCAACGAAGTGTTTGGTGAGCTGGTCAGTTACATAACTATCAATCTGCTTTAATATACTTGTACTGTCACAATCTGTCATGGTGTTTGTACATTTATATACATCTCATATTAATAACAATGAAATCATAATGAAAATACATAATCGTTTTATATATAAATTGCTTGCCTAGATGCTGTTGATTAAATTATATCTACTTTCACCCACACCATTCTGAAAATTGTCGTAAATCTAATTTTAATATACTTCTAATTTGATTGAAGAAAGACAAAACCAAACTCCCCATGGTACAATTGTAAATATAATTGGTCTTATGAGAAGTTTATTTTTTACCCTGAAGAAAAAATAGAGTTGTGAAATGCTCATCGGTGAAATTCCTAAAACATGAAGATTGCATTATCCCTTGTGGTAATACATTGTTGATTTTTTAATTTAAAATCATGGAACTGTCAGCTCGGTGCCGCTAATGAGATTTTACTATCAGTGATAAGTGTTGACGATTTCCGTATCAACTGCTTGCGATAATATAAACAATATACCCACTCCTATTATTTGCGTAGTTTTCAAATAAGTGGATTAAATGTTGTGAAGCTAATTTCCCAAGTGTATACCATGCGTGCTTAATATTATGGAAAACAAATTAAATTCGCTTTCATATAAACATTTGTTCATTAAAGATACACTTTTCAACTAAAATGTTTGTTAACCATATATGTTGCATCTAAACTAAGTAATAGTACTTGTGTTCCGAGGGGAAATGAGTTTTATGCATTAATTAATTCTATTTATGAGACAGTTGACATTGCACAACATTTTCAGACTTATCTGCAGATTTGGTTATACGTTGGTGTCATATGATTACGCATCCTAATTTGGGCCTGAATAATTCAAACATGTTACCTAGCAAATGTCCTCGCGGCACTGGATTAATTTCTCACTGAATATTTTTTGGGTCGCTGTTAAGACGGGAGTAGGCGGTACGGTGGCTGGTAGCCACAGCCACAGCAAGAGGTATGGTTGGTGTGGTGTGCCGATTGCGGGAATATTTATCTCGGGCACGCCAACCCGGACAGACCTCAGCTGAAATCATGCCACTGTGACACCACTCGCCATGCTTGTAGTTTTTTCTTGACCCTTCCTGCCGCCACCATCACCGCCACTGCCACCACCGTCGCTCAGTTGATTGGTGGTGCTGGTCACGGACAGCCAAAATGTGGAAATTACAGTTGATTTTCTGACGCCCCGTGGAGCCAGGCAGCCCGGCGCGTAGCGGCAGCGGTGAATCCATGGCGATTGGCGATTACGATCGCTTGTGCGGGACGCGCATTAGTGGCTCTCACCCGACGAGCTAAACAAAACAAAAAATTCGGTTGCCGAAACGATGCGAGACGGGGGGGGGGGACGCCTTGAAATTGCGCGCAGAAATTAAATTTACGTGATCGATCGTTGGTGGGCGCCGTGCATGAGTGAGAGAAGATGCGGACGGGACGTTCTTGTGCGCACACTGGCAGCGAGAGGAGCGAACGGGTACCACCGCGGGGGGATTGATTGCTCGGCCAACTTGTACGCCAAGTTTGCATATTAGCATCTCCTGCAGTTCGTGTAAAAGTCGAAGAGTTTGTTAAAAATGTGTGGATGGCAATATCGATTGACGTTTTTCCTTACGAGTGTTTCATTTATAAATGATTTTCCTATCGGTGATCATTTATTTGTATAATTTCATCGAAGAATAGCTCCTCAAACTACATTGCTGTGTGTTTAGATGCTTGCATTCCCTATGCGGAATGGTGTTTAATGTACTTTGTGCATTCACAATTATATTGTAAATTTAATATTTAATTCTCCTAAATGCGCATATATTATGTTGTGTGTTTAATCTATGTGTAGGTGATGTGTTTATATGTAGGACACTAAATTATGTGATGACACCATTGGTCAAAACAGTAGATATAAATCTTCAATTGATTTTAAAGATTATTATTCACCTTTTCAGCTGCTGGGGAAAACACTACGAAATTATGAATTAATAATAAGAATGAATGCTTTTAATTATATATGTTATAACACTCATAAATGCAGTGAATAAAAATATATATATATAGAAATGGTGATAAAAGCCCTTTCAGTGGAACAACGGGCAATGACTGAACCACATGAACTAAATTTGAGGCAGTGATGGAATATAAGATTAAGTACTACGGACACGTGAGCCCTTCATGATCTTCCCAATCATGATTCTTGCCGAGATAATTAGGTCGACATATTGGGGGTGGTGTATTTGGTAGACAATACCTGCCTTTGCCTACAGCAAAGTCAACCTCTTGTTTGAGAGCTCAGAATCGACCTGTACGGTGCCTGCAGCAGATTTCGGTTTGTATGTGTGTGAATTTTTTGGGGGGGGGGGGTTAAGTACATTCTAATGCAGTCTTTGCTGGATTCGTGCGTCAAGTGCCGTGCACATTTTTGCATTCACGCTGCATTAATCAATCTTCGTGACAGCATGCGGTGTTGACAATTTATTATCGACAAAATTCTCGGTCGGGATTGTATGGGCAAATGGACCACAAAGTGCCTTGGCTTCCAATTACCCTCGGCATGCGGAACGTGTGGTCACAAAACACTTGTATGTAATTTGCGTCGAGCAGTAATGCATGCCTTTCGCTATCGGACACCGCATTTTCTCAATCGTGTTATCAGACGCTGGAGAAAACAACAAACAAAATTACAATGACCCGTGGCGATTTTTTTTGCCGCACAGCGTTCTGGAGCCGACAATTATTACAGCTCGCGTGTTGAGATGCAGCGCTCCCACTCTCCATCTTAATGCATCAAGAGCTTTTCTTGTCAACCGCCGCTTCTCAAAACGACAATAAAACATGACATTGCCGTAGGGACAAAGCGTTGCTACGTGGCTTCTGCTTTGTAAGTTAAAAAAGGATATTTCCCCCCCCCCCCCAGCAATGCAAATGCCGCGATTGAAAATTAAGCCAGGCCCTGGGTTTGGGTTCCAAGGAGCCCGTACAATGAGAAATGGGCACTGCGCCTCCCTTGCGAACCCTTCCCTTCGCAGTTTGGCTCCACTCATTTCCCTGGTTTTTTTTGCTCGAGCTCAATGTTTTCAGATAAAATGCAATCACAACATATATTTCTCTTTGGGGAGTGGAGCGGTGGTACAGTGGTTAGCACTTTGCGCAATGAATCCGAGGACCGGACTTAGATTGACAGCCACGGCTAACATCAGTGGCAGGTTATATCAGCATTGATCATGTCCTTACTGGTACCCTCCCTCCCCCTTCATCAACCTGCATGGAACCCATGACCAACATAGTGCGGGGGAGGCCGTCATCCATCGGTGATGGAAAATAGCTGGAATTTAAGTTCTCTTCGGAGGCTTTTAAAATACTTGTTATCGCCAGCACATATGGTATCGGGATCGGGGGTAACATTATTTGCTATTGTCTATACGCGCGGGAATAAAGCACGTATGGTTGTTGTATGCTATATGTGCGGTGAGTATATGAGGAACGTGTGTATACATTATTTTGTGTGCATTTGCATACATGTAATGTGTAGTGCAGGGCTTAATTTCATCTGCATTTGTTCATACTGGGGACCCGGGAAATATGTCTGCACCCTACGCACCACATCAAGCATATTTCTCGCTATGGCTGTGGCTACTCGTCATGTGCCAACGCTAAGCTACCAATTCGGCAGCATTGGTATACTGATGTACACGTGCCCACGTCTTGGTATTTTACTTATTTCGAACGGTTAAGTACCTGCCGTGGACACACCGGCGCTCATTCGCTAAGTGCGACCCATTGCCACGAATGGAGGAGACTTAGATTCATGGTAGACTTTGTGGCATGCTGCCGGCTCGGCCAGCATGTCAATTCATACCGACGGTGCCGCTAAAACCTACGATAAAATCACCCAGGGATGCACCCAATATCTAAAGATTTTGGAAGCTCAGCAGGCCAAAGCCTGGATGGACTGCCACCATGCATAGCAGGTCTTACAGACTGTGGGGCATATGCAGTAAAGGGAAATGCAGGAAAAAACATTTTACTGTAATCTGTGCTCCCTGCCTTCACCAAATCCATGCCCACCAGTGTCGTGACGTAATGTAAAATAAAACCACCATGGTTAGCACGGAGTGGGGAGGTCTTCATTGGTGGATTGACAAAGAGTCCGTAGATACAAACATATGCAAACATAGCGACACCATGAAAATACAGACATTTCCTCGCATATAACGAACAAGGCAGCAGATGGCGAGGTTTATTTTTAATTTGTTATGGGGCAATCAAGAAAAGAAGACGTCACTACAGTTAAATATAAGTGATTATTACAGATCACGTATTCGTGGCCTAAAAATAAATAACGCAACGCCAGTGGGGCATGTGCTGCAGTTCACCTAATGATTATAGTCAAACAATACACTACAACGTCCGTCTGTATTTTCCACCCCCCGGACCGCTCAGAGTTGACCACCATTGTCGTTGTCGTTCTCCTCTTGTGTCCACTCTGCAGGTGGCCGGGCCACCACATGCAGCTCAGCGCGCTCCTCCACGTACCGCTCCCAAACCCGACTCTCGCCTCCACCCCGTGCCACCCGCTGTGCCACCCGCTGTGCCACCCGCCATACCCGGCGGTCATGGACGTGAAGCCGATTCTGCCGTTCCAACTCGGGGCCACCGCTCCCATGGGCCTCTTCCAGAACTTCAGCAATGCAAGTAGCTCGCAGTGCGCACCCACAATGGCAAACAAAGATGACCCGTATATCCTCGGCAGACTGTTGGGGCAAGTGCTGTTAGCGAGCACCTATGAAGGTCGGCATGGCACACGAGGGGGTGGGTGGCCAATACCATGCCCAACCGCCTTTGTCTCTCTCGTGGCGATGTTTACACCCCGCACCAGGTACTCATTTGAGGATGAGCCAACCTCGCGAAGGTCCAGAACTGGTTTAGATATTCACGCTGATGATAGCACAGGAATTGAAGTTGGGCCACTGGGGTGTAGTGCAGTGCATTAACCATTGCACAACTTCTTCCAAAAATGACAGAGAATAAAGATCTCCCTTGTATATCCATACAAACCATTGGAGAAAGTTTTGTTAGTGAGCAGCCTTCAGTGCTGGCTGGCACGGCGCACGAGGTTGGCATGCACGTTAAAGACTAAGACACACAAACCCAAACACGAAGCGGGAAGGTCTCGCACCCATATAGCTTTATATAGGCAGCATGTTCCATTCTATTGAAGTTCGTTTTTGTTTTCAAGAAATGGGTTAACGTACTCACGCTGATTAGCCTGCCTGCATTATAAATAGCAAAGACAAAGATCTCCATTTAGCCTGACAGACTGTTAGAAAGACGTGCTATTAGTGAGCATCCTTCGAAAGGCTAGAACGCCACACTTGCTTGTGTGGCAAACATGACGTCTAAGTATATGCCTTCCCGTTTAAGGCCGAGTTAACCTAGGGGAGGATCAGGACAAGTTTAGTCACCACTTGCTATGGATGTGAGCCATTGTCAGGAATTGAGAAACCTCTCTTTAGAATGGCTGCACCCGAAATCCACAGTGGAGCAGGATCGAGGGAGGTAAGACTTTCTCTGCATGAGACAGTTGAAATTATGGGATCAGAAAAATAGGAATTAATGACATGGGGGCATAGGCCATAGGCAAAGAGGCCACTTGCCCATTCATTTTTTGGAAGGGAAGCGGATAGAGTACATCTTACAAGAATAATAATGTAAAATTCTATTCAGGATAACCTCACTGAGCCTTAGGACTAATTTAATGAGGGTCCTAAATTCGTATGTTTGACTGATTCCTTTTTGAAAGAGCGTTTAAAAAGGCAAGTGGAGAGAATTCAGCGTCCTCGAAGAAATCCCATTACACATACGAGGAAATCACACTCAAAGATCTGCACAGACAGACTCAAGAATTCATCAATGTACTATGCGACACCTCGCAGCTCAGCAATTGTGCGAGGTTATACGCTGCAACAACTCTTCCATCCAAAGTGCTGGATTAGGGGCATGCCTTGCCGTGCTCAGCGCATTCTGCGGCCCCTGAATTAATATCCTTCATGGTTCTTTGACATGCCCCCGACCCCCCCCCTTCCCCCCCCCCCCCCCCCCATAGCTGTTTGGCCCCCGGACTGCAAAATTGTTCCCACGCGCCTGATTGGAACAGCACCGGAGCATTCCCTGCGGATCTACTCGCTCCAGCTTGTTCCGATTTGCCATAGTTCCACTCTTACCCCTCCTGTCTCCCCTCCACCCACTCTCAAGCTCCCCCACCCGGCCCTGTTTTACTCCCGCCTCTTCCGCCTCCTCCACCTTTAGCAAACAATGGCCCCTTCTTAGCAAGTTTTAATGAAGGGATTACATCCACTATAACGTGCACCGCGTGAAGGAGTGCGGCTCTGCTTATTTAAATAATGCATTTACCACGAGTGCACTCAGATAGAAAAGGCTGTTCAGCAACGGGCATGTCACGGACATCACCACCTTGCCACTGATTGGCCACCATCGCGTCGCACGGCAGCGGATAACTTTGGAAAATGGGATTTTTTTTCTTTTGCGCGGAGCGTGATTGACTGCCCCGCAGGTTCAGTCAATCGGCCGACTCTTGCCGCTGCCACTGCCGCTGCAGCTGTACCTCTGAGATTCCCCCGTCTCGGTATTGGCAGTCCAGCGAATGGTATGCACAGTCCGCTAACCAATGTGTGCGGCAGTGTTGATAAATTGCACATTATAATTACTCTACTTCTGTGCATCACCAATTATATGGCACTAATTCGAAATTTGTAAAAAAAAAATGTTGCACAAACCGGTTGAATGGAGATGTATTTTTTCAAGTTTCACTGCCTATTTCATGCCCCGTCAAACAAGCACCCTGGGTTCATCCCTGAGCAGAGCTCGGTCTTGAGCCACCGTATAATTAGGTGATAATAAATGTATCTGTCATTCATGGTGGTGGGGGCGTGGGGGAAATCTGATAAAATAAAAAAGATCCAAAGTGATTGCCTTTTGCGTGCTGTTTTTCTGATGGAAGATTCCCGACATTCTCTGGAGACATCGTGCATTTCCGAGGAGAACTCTGTGAAAGTGATATCTCTTTGATTGTCATGCGCATCGGCCACTGGTTGTGCACTTTAATTTTGTATTCTAATAAGCCTTTGATTTTAGGCCTCTGCCACACGTGGCGCACGATTACAACAATGCAACTGTCACACGCCGATCGTGATTGGGCTTAAATGCGGGCATTCGCGTGAAATTATCATTCATCACTGCTCTCGGCCATCTCCGCTGTCCATTAGGCTGCACTTGCTCACATTAGCCCCGAGTGCTGGTAGCGCTGCGCTTCAGAAAAGGTCAGCAGATGTACTCGATAATTGTGGTAAGGCAGTGAAATTTTAACTCATGGGAGAAAAATAAGTGAATCGAGGATGACATTTCTGCAGCGACGTGGGTATTTTTTGTCGTCTGAATATTGCGCATTCTGGTGTCCTATGTGCATGAAAGTGGGCTTGGACAGAGCGTATTATGGTGAGAAGGGATGGTGGTCAATAGATGAGACTCATAATGGAACGTTGGGTAGAGGAGAGAACGTGCCTGAAAGGATGACCGTGATGGAGATTGAACAATGAGATCAGTCCTGCGCAGGGGGTAGATGTATCTTACAAACCGCAGGACCACGATGGACGGTGACCGCATTGGATGGCCTTTTCCAGCAGTCGATAGTCAATGGCTGATGATTATGATGATTTTCATGTATGTGCTGTGTTTGCATTACATATATAAATAAAAACAGTTAACTCTTACGACAGCTGATGTGTGCCTGACACTAAAAGATCACATTAATTGCACATGCCTGCATACCCAATGCTGCTTTAAAAAACAAAAACTGTCTGATATGTGAGAGTAAAAAAAAGTTATTTAACCCTTGATTTCATGGTTTCATCCAAAACGACGACACACATCCACCTGGGAATTGAACGTTTCATGAAACCAGGTGCTTCAGATACTGGTAAGGGCATTGCAAAGAGCTGGTGGTGTTAGAGACATTCATTTTGATATTCTTGGTTCTTTCGGTAAAGTCACGTAGAAGGGAAATAATAAAATAATAATAAAACATTATATATTGTGAGAATTTTATTATATTATTGTTTTTTTATTCTTTTATTATTTCCCTTCTACGTGACTTTACTGAAAGAACCAAGAATATGAATCCCTGCAGTCACGAAAGCTTTAAATCGAGACATTCATTTTGAGTTTTTTTTTTTCCCCACTGATTTCCAAATCCTCGTAAAGTTGCATCATCACACCATACCTATGGACATACAGTGAGGGAAAAAAAGTTTTTGATCCCCTGCTGATTTTGTACGTTTGCCCACTGACAAAGAAATGATCAGTCTATAATTTTAATGGTAGGTTTATTTGAACTGTGAGAGACAGAATAACAACAACAAAAATCCAGAAAAACGCATGTCAAAAATGTTATAAATTGATTTGCATTTTAATGAGGGACATAAGTATTTGACCCCTCTGCAAAACATGACAGTACTTGGTGGCAAAACCCTTGTTGGCAATCACAGAGGTCAGACGTTTCTTGTAGTTGGCCACCAGGTTTGCACACATCTCAGGAGGGATTTTGTCCCACTCCTCTTTGCAGATCTTCTCCAAGTGATTAAGGTTTTGAGGCTGACGTTTGGCAACTCGAACCTTTAGCTCCCTCCACATATTTTCTATGGGATTAAGGTCTGGAGATTGGCTAGGCCACTGCAGGACCTTAATGTGCTTCTTCTTGAGCCACTCCTTTGTTGCCTTGGCCGTGTGTTTTGGGTCATTGTCATGCTGGAATACCCATCCACGACCCATTTTTAATGCCCTGGCTGAGGGAAGAAGGTTTTCACCCAAGATTTGACGGTACATGGCCCCGTCCATCGTCCCTTTGATGCAGTGAAGTTGTCCTGTCCCCTGAGCAGAAAAACACCCCCAGAGCATAATGTTTCCACCTCCATGTGTGACGGTGGGGATGGTGTTCTTGGGGTCATAGGCAGAATTCCTCCTCCTCCAAACACGGCGAGTTGAGTTGATGCCAAAGACCTCCATTTTGGTCTCATCTGACCACAACACTTTCACCCAGTTGTCCTCTGAATCATTCAGATGTTCATTGGCAAACTTCAGACGGGCATGTATATGTGCTTTCTTGAGCAGGGGGACCTTGCGGGCGCTGCAGGATTTCAGTCCTTCACGGCGTAGTGTGTTACCAATTGTTTTCTTGGTGACTATGGTCCCAGCAGCCTTGAGATAATTGACAAGATCCTCCCGTGTAGTTCTGGGCTGATTCCTCACCGTTCTCATGATTATTGCAACTCCACGAGGTGAGATCTTGCATGGAGCCTCAGGCCGAGGGAGATTGGCAGTTCTTTTGTGTTTCTTCCATTTGCGAATAATCGCACCAACTGTTGTCACCATACTCTTTGTTTTTTTCGGTAAAGTCACGTAGAAATAATAAAAAATAAAATTATCACTTTCTCGCCAAGCTGCTTGGCAATGGTCTTGTAACCCATTTCAGCCTTGGAGAGCTCTTTGGTCTTGGCCATGGTGGAGAGTTTGGAATCTGATTGATTGATTGTTTCTGTGGACAGGTGTCTTTTATACAGGTAACAAGCTCAGATTACGAGCACTCCTTTTAAGAGTGTGTTCCTAATCTCAGCTC